TTTGATGCATTAAACACTAAACAGAGAAGATCAGAAGAGTTGTGGGATGACATCAAGAACATCATACATGAAAAAAGCAAAAAGTCATTAAGAAGATAAGAAAGAAGGAAAAGGTCAAAATGGATGTCAGAAGAGACAACGAAACTTTCTCTCCAGCATAGAGATTTGCTAAAGCAAATGGAAGATGAGACGGTACAAGAGATGAAGAGAAAATTTCAAAGATCAGCTCGAGAAGATTAAAGCCAAATATTTCAACAAATGTGCAAAGATCTAGAATCAGAAAACGAAAAAGGGAGAACATGTTCAGCATTTCTCAAGCTGGGGGAACTTTCATGATTGAAGGATTCTCTGGGCAAATTATTGAATGATGCAGAAAGCATCAAGAGAAAATGGAAGGAATACACAGAAAGTCACTGTACCAAAAGGAAATGATTAATGTTCAACCATTTCAAGAGGTAGCATATGATCAATAGCCAATGATACTGAAGGAGGAAGTCCAAGGTACATTGAAGGAATTGGCAAAGAACAAGGCTCCTGGAATTAATGGAATAAAAATTGAAATCTTTCAAAAAAGAGGCGGCACAGGAGGCACTCACTCATCTATGCCAAGAAATTTGGAAGACAACAATCTGGCTTACTGATTGGAAGAGATCCATATTTGTGCCCATTCCAAAGAGAGGCAACCCAATGGAATTAGGAACTCATCAAATAATCTCTTTGCTAAACATGTGAGTAAAGTTTTACTAAAGGTAATACAGAAATGGCTGTAAGCATACATTGACAGAGAACCTCCAGGGGTTCAAGGTGGGTTCAGAGGAGGCCATGGAATGAGGGATATCATTGCTGATGTCCCATGGATCTTGGCTGGAAGCAGAGAATATCAGAAAGATGTTTACCTGTGCTTTATTGACTATGCAAAGGCTTTCAATTGTGTGGATCATGACAAGCTATGGACAACATTGAGAAGTATGAGTATTCTGGAACACTTATTTGTGCTCATGAGGAATCTGTACATGGACCAAGAGGCTGTTGTTCGAACAGAACATGGGAACACTGAATGGTTTAAAATTAAGAAAGGTGTGTGACAAGGTTGTATTCTTTCACCATACTTATTTAACCTGTATGCTGAGCAAATAATCTGAGAAGTTGGGTTATATGAAGAAAAATGTGGCACCAGAATTGGAGGAAGACTCATTAACAACCTGTGATATGCAGATGATACAACCTTGCTTGCTGAAAGTGAAGAGGACTTAAAATATTTACTGATGAAGATCAAAGAGCACAGCCTTCGTTATAGATTACATCTCAGTGTAAACAAAACAAAAGTCCTCAGTACTGGACCAATAAACAATGCTCTTATCAGCGGAGAAAAGATTGAAGTTGTCAAGGACTGCATTCTTCTTGGATCAACTATCAACACTCATGGAAGCAGCAGTCAAGAAATCAAATGACATATTGCATCAGGCAAATCTGCTAAACCTTTTTAAAATGTTGAAGAACAAAGATGTCAACTTGAGGACTAAGGTGCTGTGACCCAAGCCATGGTTTTTTCAATAACCTCATATGCCTGTGAATGGTGGGCAGTAAATAAGGAAGACTATAGTAGAATTAATTGATGCTTTTGAGTTATAGTGTTGGAGGAGAATATTGAAAATGCCATCGACTGGATCCATGTTGGAAGAAGTGCAGCCAGAATGCTCCTTGGAGGCCAAGATGACCAAACTTCGTCTCTCATACTTCAGACATATTTTCAGGAGGGACCAGTCACTGGAGAAGGATATCATGTTTGGTAAGATGGAGAGTCAGAGAATAAGAGGAAGACCCCAATGAGATGGATTGGCCAAGTGGCAACATTGATGGACTCAAGCGTGGCAACAGCAGTGAGGTTGGCCCAGGATCAGGCAGTGTTTTGTTCTGCTGTGCATAAGGTCACTATGAGTTGGTTCCAACTCGATGGCACATAACAATAACAACAATGTGATGGCTGGAGCGGGGTATCATGTTTGGTAAGGTGGAGGGTCAGAGTAAAAATGGAAGACTCCCATCGAGATGGATTGGCAAAGTGGCAGGATCAATGGACTCGTGTGTGGCAATAATTATTGAAGTTGGCCCAGGATCGGGCAGTATTTCATTCTGTTGTACATAGGGTCGCTATGAGTTGGTACCGAATCAATGGCACCTAACAATAACAACAACAATGTGATAGCTGGAGTCCTGGTGCTTTAATGCATTAGACTGCAAAGCCATTTGAACTGCAAGATCAGAGGCTCAAGCTCTATACAGGTCACTATGGGTCAGAACCGACTCAATGGCACTTAACAACAACAATGTGATGACTGGAGTTGCTTCTCTTTGATGAGTCATGTGTTGTTAGGATTGATGATGTTTCTACTCGCAACTGCTTTTGCAGGTTTGTGTGGGTCAGTCTGGAGTGCAGTGGACTCAGGGCCATAGTAAATTTTGAAAAGAACTGCTTGCAGCAGGAGGTTGTTCTGAATACAGATGCATAATTCAATGCGTGTCTCCTCAAAGTGGGTAATTCATTATTGCTTATGTAACATTTATAGGACTCAAGAAGTGGAAGATTATTGTACCTAGCTTTGTAACTGAATGATTTTGTGTTGTAGGTTATCAGGCATATCAACTGGTTCCACATTGAGCATTGTAGCAAAGATGTTCAATTCCACTTGTTTACCTTTCACATCCTTGAATTTTTCTTTAAACTCCTCAATTAGTTTCACACATTCACCAACATATTCCAGTGTCCTAGAAGGCTTTTGTCCTTCCAGAGTGGGAAAATGTACCGTGTTATTCCTTTTGAGTCGCACTTTGCACAGCCTTAATTTAGCTTCAAATGATTTCACGTTTAAAAGCAGGGAGCTGAGAAGCTGGTTGGGGCCCTGCTGCTTGAGAGTCAGCTCTGAGAGGCACTTGGTGACATCCACCATAAACGTTAGATTACACAGCCACTTGCTGTCATTGAGTTCCCTGACAGGTTTTCCTTTCATCTCCATGAACTGTTTGACTTCATCCTGCAATTCGTAAAACCTCATGAACCTGTGCCCTTGGAGTAGCCATTGCACTTCACGGTAATAAACAAGATCACCGTACTCAGAGTCAAGATCACTGAATAACTCCGTAAACTGGAGGCTGTTAAGCCCTCTGCTTTTGACAAAACTTATGCATGACACTATTGTTGACATCATATTGTTGAGCTGCAATGACTGTGCACAGAGACTTTCTTGGTATATCATTTCAGTGGCATATAATTAAATCACTTGGATCAAGTCTGAGACAATTCAATTCTTTCTTGACACAGACAATAAACCCTTTTTGTAAGCCAACTATGGCTGGAGTTCCATCTGTATATACTAAGGCCACTTAACTTTTCAAATATTAGCTCAAGTATTTTCATTGAAAAAACAAGTATCTCAAGCAGATCCTCACCCCTTATAGTGCCGTGCATAGCTTCCAGTGACAACAGCTCCTCTCATATGTCAAGTCAAACTCTGCAGTTAGTCATGAACAAAAATGGCCTGCTGTGCAGTATTTGGTATGTCCTTTGTCTCCTCACAAGCCAGAGGAAAAAATTGGAAACTGCAGGCAGAATCCTTCAGTGTGTTTGCAATATTTTGTGCAAAATCAATAATCTGATCTGAGATGGTTCTCCAAGTCAAATGAACACTCTGAAACACCTATTTTACTTTGTCTCATGCTAACAACTCTGCCACAGCCCTTTTTCACAAACTCTCCTTCTACATGAAGCCTCAGCTTCTTAGCAATTAGTTCACTACTACATAACTCATCTGAATAATGTTGGCCCACGATCAGGCAATGTTTTATTCTGTTGTACATAGGGTCACGATGAGTTGGTACCCACTCAATGGCACCTAACAACACCAACACCACATAACTCATCTGCATAATGTCTCTGTCACAATGAGGACTAGTGAAAGTGGTTGTCATGTTTCCAGACTTCCCTGTGAAGACCATTGATTTTATCCAGATGCATTTAGCCTCCCAATTCATTGAGTTTAGCAAGTTTTGAGCTATAATGTTGCTTCAGATTGGATTTTTTCATTACTAAAGAAGCATCACCACAAATGAGACACACAGGTTTACCTTTGACTTCAACAGAAAATAATCATTGGTCAATTTCTCTTGGAAAGATTGACGTTCTGCATCAATTTTTCTTTCTTTGTAGTCACCATTTGTAGGATTTCACACCATTTAAGTTTTAATAAGTATCCAGCATGTGTGCATTACCAGTGGCACTATTATTTTGCTTTGATCACTGTTCTAATCCTGTAACTTGGATTTGGAACATTTCTAACATGTCATTGACTTTTGAGGGCTTTTCTGTATACTGTGATTTATTTAATCTTCATCCAAGATTCCATTTTTGCAAGGATTGTTGATCATGGACCTCTGGATAAAGATTGCATTGGAGTTACCATCTGTGTCAACAAAGAAGTCGACAATATCAGCATCAATCATTAAGGCAGGATCATCGACGTCGTGAGGAATCAGCTCATTGTCTCTTCTTTCATCATCGCCGGATCACCAGAGTTTTTGCCACAGTGTGCTAACACTTTCCCAGTATGTTCACTCCCAGCCTGCCTGGCGCTGATTCTCCTCTAGTCATGACCGTACAGGCAGATGGGCCACGGGCAGCCAACAAGAAGCACACGTGTCTGTCCTGTCATATACTCATATGTGCCCTGTCTATCCCATAATGGACACTTCCTGTTTGTTCCTCAACATTTACGTTATTGTTATGAGTCACTTGATATAAATTTATGTTGCAATGCAAAACACTCCTAGATTTATTGAATATTGAGTCCTGCCTGTGGCTGCCTTGACAAATTCAAACTAAAGAATTTCATGGGCCTTCACCACCCGCTCCTTAGAAACTGTATACAGGGTTGTTTGTGTAGGAACAGACTCAAAGGCACTTAACAACAACAACAATATGGCCCGTGTGCAGATCATTCCCCACCCTTGTTCTAGTTGATACTTTAAACATCTCAGTGCTCCTTTCATGTTAACAAAAATTGCTACTGACTCAACTAACTTCAAGTTTCATGATGTGCAGTTTGGCTTTTGAGTAAAAGAATCCCTGTGCCTGCTGCATCGACTTCTCGTGGAATCTGAACATGGAAGCACCTAAAGAGAGGTCCAGGTGAGCTCCTGGATTCTTAACCAGCTCTTTGGCATGTTGTTGTTGTTAAGTGCCATAGAGTCTGGTCCAACTCAAAACAACCTATACAGGGTTTCCAAAGAGCAGCTGGTGAGTTTGAACTACCAATCAGCAGTCCAATGTTCACCCTACAGCTCCACCCCTGGATTCCATTGGGTATAGATGTGTGGGAAGTGCTGGTAATACAGGTCTATGTAGTTACTGTGTTTCTGTGCCCAGCTGGTCATCTGTGGGGTTTTCCTGCTTCAGCACAAGGCTTGACAGGTAGAGAGAGACTCTTGCTCCCTGTATCCCCAGACTCTGCTGCCTCCATCTGACACTGCACCATGTGCCTCCAAATCAATTTCAGGGCACTACAGCAGTGACTTTGGTTTCCCTGGGCTCCCTTCTCCAGTTCAGAAGCTAAGTAACTCACCGTAAGCACCACTGCATAACTGGTATGAGGTTGTGTGTGGTAATTGACTCACTGCCAACGGTATCACCAGTCTCCTGCATTTGTTCTAAAAAATTAGAGTATATACCAAATTAATAACTTGTGGATATAACTAAAATGTGGCCATAGAAATTTGTAGGACATGGAGACATTAAAGCACCAACTCATCAAACTTTTGCTGAACATAAAATAACACTTTGTTGTTGTTTGTTTAGTGCTGTCACGTCAGTTCCCACTCATAGTGACCCTGCATAATTTCTGAGGTTTTAAATCTTTGAGGGAGCAGAAAAGCTAATCTTTCTCCCATGTAGCTGCTGGTGGGCTCAAAACACTAGTCCAGTGGTTCTGTAGTTCAGTGCATATTGTATGGAGCCACCATGTTCCACATCACAATGAAAAATTAAAATTACATTTAAAAAAACATAAACAGTATCCAAGGAAGGCGGTGCCCAAAATAGTTCAATAATAAAATGGAAATGGTTCATACAGGAACAATCTACAGGTGGAGGAGATACAGGGAAGGCCCCACCTTATCCATGAGTAGGTAGCCTCTTTTCCCATAGGTCCTACCCTGCAACCACCTGAGAAGCTTCCAGAGCTGTCGGGGACCTGTCTCGATAAGGGAGTTCAGTTCAGGAAGTAGGGAGATCTGGCAGTGAAAGAGACAGATAAAAAAGTATTCACAAAGACATGAGTGAGAGACAAAGAAATACCCTGAAACTAGAGTGGATGCAAAGCTGGCGGGCAGACCCTGGACTACAGGCATCATGGCCCCTGCAGGCAGTAATGCACCACCCTGTAAACCGTAATGCATGCAGGGTTCAGTCTGCGCCCCCTTTTTATTTCAGGGAGGGACTGTACACAAAGGAAGAAGGGGATTATTAAGACAGGTTACAGAAATGAAATGTGATTAGTCATTCAAAACAGGACACAAGGATTTACAGGAACAAATTCTAAAACATACATCGCAAATTATCTTAATAATCTAACATCCTTAATTTTCCAGAAATTCAAGCAAATTGTTATAAATTACTTTTTAGGTTCAAATCCCAAGGCAGCAACTCCAGGTTTCTCAAGACTAATTAACATACCTATAGCACTTAATCTCGAATGGGAAAAGGTGAAAAGGATTCAAGAGGTCTGGAAGGAGTCCAGCTGTTTCAGCTACCTGGCCTAGGCTTGCAGGAGGAAAAGGGACACCTGGGGAAGATTAGAAGGGCTGACACTATTATTCCTTGAACAATACCCCAGAATTCGACAATCTACTTTGAGTGAATTCCTTGGACAGACTGTCTCCAGAGCCTCCCAGCAAACTTGCCTTTGGAACTTTTTACAGCCTCGGCTTTAGGAGGGGCTTTTGTTTTAATATTTGTCCATGGGTATCAAGGGCTCATGTATTAAGTTAATATCAAATATAACTGAATAACTTGATAAAGAACAGTTTTGCCATGCTTGCCAGGTGGCCAGAGTGTGTTCCTCAGAGAGATTTGTTCCCAGAACCCTACGCACTGCCAACACAGTGGAGACATTAAAAGAGGCACATAAGAAACCATTTTCTCAGAAGCTACAATTACTGGAGTTCGAAGCATAGAATGAAAAATAGGACCAAAGAAAATTACACAGAGCTAGCCCAACAGTGAATTCATAAAAGCCAATGAACCCGGGATGTCCAGAGATCACTTCCTTGGGCCCTCAGGGTCCCTGGCTAGCCATCCTGAGTGGGGCCATAGTGTAGGATTTTCGTCCATGACACAGGGCCTCAACAGCTCAGTGATTGTGGTCTCCAACACAGAGCCATTGGACAATGCCCTATGAACAGCTTTCTGCTGACCAGCAGAACACTGCTTGGTTCACAGATGGCAGTTCCTCAGAAAATGGTCAAGACTTGATGTGGAAAACAGCTGCATTAAGACAAGCAGATGGAAACACCCTGATGTAAGAAGCTAAGAATATTTTGAGTTCAGGATGAAGCTGACAAAAATGAAAACAAGTCAATGTGAGCCAAAATATGACCAAAATATGGAGAAATGTGAGGCTTTCTGCTCCCATAAAGATTTACAGCCTCAGAGACCTATACAGACTCACTATGAGTTGGAATCAACAGTGGTGGGGTGGGGGAAATGATACTGTGAATTTCATTGATAGACATTTCTATTCAAAGAATTCTTAAATTCTACCAAGTGATTGGGGTACTGTTGTTGTTTAGTACTGTCAAGTTGGTTCTGACTCATAGGGACCCTGTGTCAGACTTCTAAGGAGTGACTGGTGGGTTTGAACCACTGACCTTGTGGTTAGCAGTCCAGTGCTTATCCTACAGTGC